ACAGTCTGTCTGTGTCGTCCACGGCTCCGTCACCGAGACAGGTTAGCCGGGAGACGAATATGGTGCTGGCGGCACTCAGACGGCGCACACGCACCATCCGACAGAACATGTCCAGGGGCACGGCCGGGCTGGAGGAGTCCAATGGCATAGTGGCAGCGCGTCGCATGGTGATCTGCAGCAGACGGCCCAGCTGGAGCGAGGCCGACGCGTCGTTGAAGAATGTGACGGCCGAGCGAGACACATGTTCCACGCAGGCTGTGTTGCTGGTGCGCTTCTGAGCCATGTTGCGCATAATGATTTCGGTCATGTAGCGGGCAGCGCTCAAAACCGTCGCCGGGTTAGACATCATGTTGCTCACCAAACCGAATCCTGAGACCTGGGTAGCGACAACCAGCAACAAGCTGATTGCCAAATATGTCTTCATTTTGGAGTTTGTGATATTATGCGTTGAATGCCGCTTGATACCCTTCAGCCTTGTCCGATGTTTTGGGATTATTTAAATGATGCTAATCACTTAGCTTCCGTTTTGAAGACAGCAAATATCTCACAAACGTGATTTCAAGTTGGGACTTTTTGTATAAAGTAATAATCCCTTTCCTCACTTCTAGTAAACTTTGCAAACTCCCACGTCCTATAATGCCCAGTTTCTAAAATCTTGAGTCATTTCCTTCTTGATATTTCTTGCGCGTGAATTTTATTATTTCTCGCACTAGAAAAATACTGCACTTTCTTCATATGAGCCTCCATGTTCACGAAGTACTATTGACTGAAGTTCTTTTCTTTGCGCGTGTCGCGGCTAGCCCAATATACCACCACTCAGGCTAACGTATCGTTGAAGCACCAAATATTCCAAACAAAATAACAAGCTATTAAAAGTATTTGGTCAATTATTTTTGTACACGAGTGGTTCGGTGAAAATCCTCTTCAGAATGGTGTGACGTACTGCATCGCATTGAATGCATCTGCATCGCAGCGGATAGGATTGTTGCGCCACTGATTGAGTTGGCTTGAAACACGTATTCCTCCCACACCAAGCCATGAGTCTCGACTGACCCGTCGAGACTGGCTTCCATCACACTGCCTAAACTAGATTCATACTTAATTCCCTTTGTCGCTCCAGCTGCCACCTGACCCGTCTGCTGACCTCTGCTGTGACCTCGGCTGACCTCCGACCCCTCGGCAGACTGAACCTGTGGCTGCCGGACAGCCGGAACCTGCTGCGCACGGCACGCGAGCGACAGGCGGCCCTGCTGCGCTCCGGAAAACTGGAGGTGCTGGGCGCCCTGGCGCGGCTGCCCAAGACGCAGCACGACTCCAACTCGTTCACGGTGGACGTGCCCGTGGCCAATGTGAGTGCGGTGGCGACAGGCCGCTGGTGTTTTGGCAGAATATAGCCGAAGTCGTTTATTTTTGTCCTGTTGACTTTTGCTTAGCTGCACATTTAATGTTATTTCGTGCTCACCTTAATATTAAATATTTATCGTTTTGTCCTTTTTTACCCGAATAACAATCCAATTGGATCTAATCGTACTGTGGCGTCATTCGCCGTTGATTGGACACTGGACAGTACATGCCGATTGCCGAACGTCTCTGTCAGTTCCACGCTGTCTCAGCGCCCGCCGATCGGGAAATGGCCGCCTGTTGTCCCCCACCCCCACCTTCCACCCCTGAGACGGTCCCCGCTCTTCCTTCGACTTCACCCCCCCCCCTCGGCCCCTCAGGAGCGTCTGATGCAAATCAGTGTCAGTGGCGTGCTCAAGGAGCGAGAGGAGCGCCACAGTCCGATCCGCGCCTTTTCGCGGGTCTTTGTGATCGTACCGCAGGGACAGGGCTTCTGCGTCGTCAACGAGATGCTATCCATCAGCGTGGCCACCCCCGAACAGATCAAGGTGAGATATTCACATTGGTGCGGCGGTAATTTTCTGATAATAGTCGGTAGACTGGTAGCAGGGGACACAACAGTGGAGACAGTGTGTCAACCTACATGACCCCGCTTCGGGGCTACAAAGTCTGACTATCAACTAGCTACCGTCTTACTGACCACAATGCAGTACCATCTACCATTTTACTGGCTACTCCATGGTATCGTGACTGTTATGTTTTGTTTGCCCTCAGGGAGCGTTCAAGGCGGCGGCTCCGACTCCGTCGCCCTCTCCGATACCTCACGTACCGGTGGTGCCGGGCGTGGTGGCCCCGCCCCCAGTGGGCGTGGTCTCGGAGGACGTGCAGAAACAGATGACGGTGCAGCTGGCCACCGTTACCGGAATGAACCCCCATTGGGCGCTCAAGTAAGTCACGGACGGGGATGAAGGACGGCGAGCACGCTTGGCAGAGGACTTATGTCGGCTGTGTCGGTCTGAGAAATGTTGCTTTGGTATCTTGCTAGTGCTACACTAGGGTGAATGCTGGACTGTCGTAATGTGTGACATGGTTGGCACGCATCACACATAATAGAGATTTGCGGCTTCATTTAGATCCCCGTCAGCTTCCAGTCCCAACAATTTGTGTAGGAATATCGCATTCAATTATATAACCGTCCAACATAGTTATTTCCAAGATCGCAATAATTGCGTTCTCTCATTTCTGGCCACCTGACTAACAGCCGGCCGTTTCTCCCACTCTCGGCCAGGTGCCTACAAGAGAACAGCTTCGACTACGACCGCTCTTTGCTGGTGTTCAACCAGCTCAAGGTGGAGGGCAAGGTGCCTCCCGAGGCCTTCCTGCCGGCCTGAGCGGCGCGCCTGGTAGGCCCGGGGGTCCTGTGAGCTGTCCCACACCAGCGCTGGTAACGGGGACGGGGTGAACCCTACCCAGCGGCGGGGACCTCGGCGTCTCCCGGTGGGTGGGGGAATCGGCGGCTGAGGCCGGGTTATCAAAGGAAGACCGGCGCCGTGCGTGTGGGTGAGGGTACACCACAGCAGTGCCGAGCACCCAAGGGAAGCCGGCTGCGGCGTTCGGGCCGCGTCGTAGCGTGTCGACTTTATTGGTGACCTCTGTAAGTGCCTGAGCAGTGAGCGTGTGTGCCCTGCGGCCTCACCAATGCACTAAATCAGTGCGCTTTGTGACTGTTATGATAATGGCGACACTAGGCTGCACTAGGATTTGATCAGTGAAGCTTTCGGTTACGCATTTTTGATGAAACACAACTTTTCACTTGTTCCTTACACGCACGGTGAAGCGGCGCCATAATTTACGAACACGGCGATGAGCTGCGGGGATGGATGGGTGGGTGGGGGAGGGGAATGTATGAGGGACGTGAAGGATGGGGCTGGGGTGGTGTGGGGCTGGATGGACTCTGAGCGGGTCCTGTAGGTAGTAGTTACGTTGTACATGGTAGTCTGTAGATAGCAGTGTGTGTGTGGAGGAGGGGAGCCAGTGGCTGTGCTTGTCGCACGGACGGCGCTGTGGCCGCCGCGGACCCTCGGTTGCAGGGCCGTCGGGCTGGTTTTACTGTCTCGGTGCGCGCGGGCGGGCTGAACGGACGCCGGTAGGGCTCAGACCCGGCCGTTGGTCGTTTTATTACGGTGTTAGTCCGTTTGGTTTGTTTTAACGTCGGCACCGTTCAGGCCGCAGCGCGCCCGAGCCCGATCGCGCGATCGTGTTGGGTCATGTTGTGTGATGACGGCCCCGTCGAGTGTCGTGCGGGCCGAAAGCAACGCCTCTGTGGCGTCCCCGGTCATCAGGCGCACCTGACAGGCTGTCTCTGCCCCGCACCCGCTGTCACCGCCGTCAGTTTTTGGCTGCAAAATTGGCCTTGCTGTCACCACCGAGCGTTGGCCCGCCGTGGTCAAAAGCTGCGGTTAGATGTGGAGGACATCGCTGGCCGGGAGTCGCGCTGCGTCTTCCCGGCTGCCTCCTGTGAGCGCGCAGATTCTCTGCCGCGCGCCGCGCCGCGTTTCCGTGTCCGTCCGCGGCTCTGCGGTGCCCCTTGGGGGTTGTCGCGTCAGAGCCAGCCGAGTAAGCGGAACTACAGAAGCCCGGAAGGGCAGTACCGAGCGGCGTTGGTCGAGTCGCCACAGTGCGGCCGACCAGACGAACCCGCCGCGTCGGAGGGGCGGGCGCGCCCGACTGGGAGGCGCCGAGTCGCCCCCGGCGGGCGGCCGGCCGGCCCAGAGAGGTCGGTCCGCCAGCGCCGCTGCCATGGAGGAGAGAGGAGTCTCCAGTGAGGGCGGACGGACCGGCCGGCGGTACTTTAGACACCAAACGACCACCGGCGGAGTTGCGCCGGTCGTGGATGACGGCGGCTGGGCGGGACGGTGTAAAGACAGCCTGACAGAGCGCTACGCGGCACCGCGCCTGTGAACACAGCACCGGTGCCCGGTGCTCGCAAAAATTCATACGCTTTAGCGAGTGTGTGAGCTGTTGTGTCGCATTTCATTTTGTGAGTTCTCTGGAGCCGCATTTCTATTTCGTAGTCACTGTAATGAGGAACCACGCAAATTGCTTTTGGTGGTACAAAACTCCCCGCCTTTTCACTGTTGTGCAGTTGTATTTTAAAACACATTCATCTGTAATTTTCCGCTGCGGTTATTACCAGGATTGTTCAGTTCCATTCCCCTTTCTCGCAGATGCGCTCAGCGGACACAGACGCGGCATCTCGCGGTTAGAATAATGGGCGGCTGCACCACGCTTCACACATGGCACACATTGCAGTGAGCGACCCACACTGGTGACTTCGGTCACAGTTTGACGTAGGTAGCGTGCCCACATTCCCTGATTTGACGTCAGTGACTCAGTTAGATTTCGATGCGTAAGCGGCCTTTTCCTAAGAACAACTGTTGTGTCTCTGTGCTGGTAACCATGTGTAGCTCGTTGTCGAATTCGTTTTTAATTATTTGTTGTTCTGTCATCACCATCTTGAAATTGACTGCAGCGGTGTGCTTCTGTTGGCGTTGCTGGATCCATTTGGCATAATGTGCGGTCTGACAGATGATCGTGTTCTGTTCTGCGATGAGCTACTGACAATGCTGTGTATTTCGGAATGAATGAAAAATCGTATCCTTTGTTTACATTATATTGCGATATTTGGGTTTCGAGGAAGATGCTACATGGATGGGCATTTTCCGAGCCCACTTCACCAATCTGACCGTCGCACTGGTTCGGGAATCGTCATTCTTCGTAGCTGATCATCGCACGGACTATGTGAACCCTGTCCGCACACCGGCCGGTCAGAAAAGTGGCCCTGCCCGGTCGCCGACCGGTCAGACGGTGGGACCTTGCGCGGTCGCTAAATCACGCGTTGTCCTCTGCCTCCTCGGCGGCGCGGCGCTGCATCAGCGCCGTGTACTCGTACTGGGCGAGCCGCTGCTGCTCCTCGGCGCGCTGCAGCTCGGCCAGCTCCAGGTCGAGCGCCTCCTGCGAGAAGTGCCGGAACCGCAGCAGCCACTGCGCCAGAAACTGGATCGGGTCGCTGGGCCGGCGGCGGCAGACCTGTGACGGTAGACGGATAGATGGGTGGAGCCAGGGCGACCGGATGGTGGAGAGGAGTTTGTGAACGTTGAGGAGTTTGTTTGAGTTTGTGAACGTTTAGTTTGTGGACGGGGAGGGGGGTTTGTGGGCGCTGAGGACTGAGGTATGGAAGCTGGGTGGTAACAATGTCTCGTTTTAAGTTATCAAGAGACGGAGTTTGCAGTTGCACTGCCCGCACAGACTACAGAGGCTAAGGAGTTCAGGACATTACGAAGAGGGCTTAACCCGGCATGTCATGTGCCGGGTTTACTGCTGTAAGTTAACCTGGCACGGTCCGATCCCCCCGCCCTCCAGTTCGTTTATCAGTGCCACGCCGAGCACTCACCTCTGCTAGACCGCAGGTCAGCGCCACGCCGAGCTTCTCCTGTAGGTAGCCGGACTCGGCGCTCAGCGCCTCAGCGTCCTCCAGTGGCATGACGCGATTTGTCGACTTCCCAGGCTTCAGGCTTAGTTTCGACGTAAACACGTGGCGGAAGAAATCGGAGGTTGAAGGTTCCGAAGTCACGGAGATATTTTCAATATTCTTGTTCTTGCTCTCGTGGCTACGGTTCTAGCTGTTTTATGAGCTTGTTCGTCAGCCAATTATCACGATATTTGGTTGTGTTGTTTGGTTGGGTTTTGGTAATGAATTCCGAGGGATAAAACCAAGACCATAAAACAAAATGGGTAAAGCGGGTTCATTGACAAAGCTCATGCTCTGTCATTTACAGGCACTTTTACTGAAGTGCATCGCTCGAGGCATGCTCTTGGTATGTCGTAAAGGTTGCCTGCACGAGAAGGTTCGAGGATGAGGCCCGACGGCAACTGGTGCTCTTCCGTGAATGTTCCTGTGTAAATGGCCTCAAAGAAAATTATATCGTCTTGCCGGGGTCCAGGCCAGTGCCACAGACACGGACAGCCAATGCCGCGAAGGGGTTAATCCTTTCGCTTCCGAGTCATGGCCCGGTGCCAGGATGGTGTGCCATGGTTTGCCCAGCCTAGTGTGTTGTTTTGGGCAATGAACCGATCAATGCAGAGTCCGACTCCGAGATGAAGCGTTATCACCTCTCGGTTCGGCTCTACTTTTCACTCAGGATAGCAGTCAAGCAGGGAGTAGGATGAAGCTGCTTGAGTCAATCATGTCCGTCCAAGCACAAGTTACAGCGTCAAGTATGCAAATGTCATGGTAATTTGAAGGGTATCGATCTTGAAGGGACCCTGCAATGAGATAATTTAACATCACCGCGCTAGAATTTTAAATTCGTGATTGATACCTTTATACTTTGTGTGCATAAACTGCGCGTCTGCGGCGTATGATTGCCGCATCAAATTCTGCTCGTAAAAATAGTCAGCAAAATTAACCAAGCAGTTCGCTCGCGAAATCAAGTTTTGATTTTGGATCTCCTTGGATACGCTGCAGATTTCCTTGCATAATTTGACTATCGAATACCTCAAGCTGATAAGTAAAGTCGGCGTCTACCACTTCTCCGAAAAAAATGTGTGAGATGGCTGATGGTGAGATTTTTCTTATCATTACAGTGTCCGAAAATTTGTAGATGTGGGTGGAAACGACATCCAAATGAAAATCATTTTCCACTCTCACCTCCAGTTTTCAAGCCCAATTTTCCACTCCCAATTCCACCGAGAAGGAGCAACTGCGTGAGTGGTTGTTTTTAATCTGTCACAAATTGTAGATGAATTAATGTTATTGATCATTTCCCATTCTTTTTGGGCCTTACCTGACCGACAATTTTTCACTCTCATCCTTTTTTTGGTCAGCAATTTTCCCCTCTGACACCCAAGCAAAAATATTATTTTGGGACACTGTATCATTATGTTCGTAGGTAGTTAGTTAGGATTTAAAGAATATTTAGTTTTATTCTGAAATAGTTAAACTTTTTATCCCGGATCATTTTTACATGAGTCTTGGATCGGTTTATTGCCGACTCAGGTTGGGAAAGGACACCGCAGTATTGATTCTGATAAAGGTGTCTTTGTAAATTTAATTGGATATTCAATTGGATAATTGAATTGGATAGGTAGGAAATCATTGAAGCACGCCTATGTCTGCATAGAATATATTGTACAGTTAATTTTTGCACATGATCATGACATGTTCCGGCCAAACTATGTCTTGCTTACCTCCCTATTTACTGAAGGTACGGCTGTAGCGAGATTAAGCGGTATGTTTTGCACTTTTACATTTCCGATTATATCTCAGAAACTAATAGATCTACGATGAAGCCATTTTACACGATCGTGGCCGGCTTGAGAACCAACAAGTCGATCGCATTCGCGTCCTCAACACTTAAAACCTTAAGACGACGAAGATATAGCCTGAAGTACACTAAATTTTCTAGGTGCAAAACCTACCACTAAAATCCGTGAGACCTGTACAATGTACATTGACATAATTAGGTGGGCCTGTGGTACTGTCTCACAGTGAGATACTGCTCCTGCTATGCGGGCCCACTGCGACCCAGTCAACCATTTTTACTTTTTTATATTGAAGGTCACTTACAATATATTCCAGTCTATTCTGGTCAAGCTACTTAGAATGAGTTGCTTTTCTGGTCTGTGCCAGTGGGCATCTAGATGATGAACTGGTTGAGTGCACCATTGCTGTTTCTGATCACCTATCTTTTTCAGCCATTTAGACAGCAGATAAAGTGCCAATCAACTTCCAGTCATGGTGGATCAGCGTGGTAAGAATGTTATATTTTGTTAGCAGCTACTGGCTGATGGTGAAATGTGGATGCTGGGTAAAATATTTCCATTGTAGTTGCCACTCACATCAGGGGTTGGCAGATGGTGGGGCATGCCCCCTTTGGGGGTAAATGGAGCCCTTCAGCGGGGGGGGGGGGGGGTAATGAGGGCCTCTGAGAAGGCATGCAATTATGTAGTTATGGAACGGGAAGGTATGGAATTTCGATAAACTAGGTTGCCAGTAATTGGGCCTGGTAGGTGGGGTTAATTGCACTGCCTGACTGGCAAAAAAGGGGCACGACCCCGGAAGACCTGCCAACCACTGCCATAAATCATGAATGGACAAACAAACAAGTGTCTGCGCATAAGCACTGCTGAGTGGTGGCAATAACTGGTCGGTAATGTTGTTTTCTAGACAACTTGTTAACCTATTATCTATTTTGCTATAGAAGTATAAATCAATAGCAAGAGTATGCTATTTTAAAACTCTATGTTTTTAGTCTTCTTGTGAAGGGTTACCAGTTGCTACCACCTACATTTGAAATGACTTGTTTGTTTGTTCCTTTGACAGATGCTCTGGGGACATCCTGGCATGACAGCACGTGGATACCGATCCTCAGTGCCAACAACGTCATGGATTACTTTGCTGAGCGCACCAACCCATTCTACGACCGCACATGCAATAATGAGGTCATCAAGATGCAGCGTATCAACCCCGACCATCTTCAGTAAGAGACAAGTTTTGAGCTGACACTGGTCCATCTGGGATGGTGATCTGATTTGTTTCACGCCAGACCATCGTAATTCGTTCCAGAGTTAGCATGTGCTGTCTTTGTCAGTGTTTACACTGGCGGATGGCCGCCGGCCTTGGTCCTGGCTATTGACCAGACGGCAGACTTGTTCCCACTTTCTAACGGTTCCCATTCGCTGGCAGTAACCTGGTGGGCCTCGAGTACACGCTGCTGCACGTGCAGGAGCCGATTCTGTACGTCATCAGGAAGGAGCACCGGCACTCGCCGAACCAGGTGACGCCACTGGCCGACTACTACGTCATCGCCGGGAAGGTGTACCAGGTGCCCGACCTGGGATCCGTCATCAACTCCCGGCTGGTGAGTCGGACCGGTCACGTCGTCACGGGGGGATCAGCTGTCCGGGCGTGTCAAGGCTGGTTGATAAGTAATGACAGAGCGTGGCTGGCTCGCAGACAGGGTCGGTTGAGGGGTTACTTGTTGGCGGAGGGCGCAGCTTTTTTGGTCCGCGCCTTCAACGCCAGGTAACGAGCGTAAGGCAATGGCCTGTATTCGGCTCGCACAGGTCTAGTGCTTATCAATGTGCTTGACGTTGAACTGATGTGAACTGAATCATCAACGCCCTCCATGCTAAATCGGTTATCTTCAATGATTGGAAAATGCATTTAGCATATTTGGCGTAATACAATTTGAGCGTCTAAATATGTCGGGAACTGGAGCCTGGATACCGGATATCACCGGGAGCTGTAATCTCTATCACCATTGGGCTGTGTCGATGCGTGACTCTGCTCGGTTCATTCGACAGACATCGTCCATCAACCACCTGCAGGAGGCTTTCAAAGAAGCACGGTCGTACGCCCGGTACCACCCTTCAAAGGGCTACACGTTTGAGTTCAAATCTCAGAATGGCCAGGTAAGGGTTTGCGTGTGTTATTTTAGTTTGAGATGCGAAGGTAGCTGGAACACCAGCTTTATGTTCGATCCCTTTGTTACACAATGACACAATTACTTGTTAATGTAGCCATCAGTATTACGTTACCGAATCGTGACCTGTTAGCGCCGAACGTCTCTGAATCTGACCTGACTGTCTCACACCGCGCAGGAGCCAGAGACGAAGAAGCGGAAGCGTGAGACGGAGAAGGAGCTGGGCTCACTGTTCCAGACGCAGCGGGTGGACATGCTGCTGGCTGACCTCGCCAGGAAGTTCCCGCCGAAGCTGCCCAACCAGCCGCCGCCGCCCAACCCAGGTGAGACATAGTACGCCGTTAGAACAGATTTTGGGAAGGAACACTGTGCTGGCATAAAAGTGTTTCTAGAAATAAATTTGTCGTTAACCGTCTCCACTTTCGTAAAAAATGTTCTATCATTTTTAATGCTTTATTATTCCTCGCTTGTATAGATATACCTACTGGAGAAAATTCGATCGTTCATTTCGACGTTTGTATGCGACGAAGCATAAGTGGCCATATCAGTACAGCGCTCTTTTTACCAAACGCTCTGGTGTCGCACCGTAGTGCTTTCGCTTGACAGTATGCGTGCACCGTGGCGTCATAGGTGACTAACAGGTGTCTCCGCTGCCCTCCCACTGACCAGCTCCCCACTGCCCTCCCTCTCCCCGATCTATTTTTGCCTACTGACTGTCCTCTCTGCTGCCCTCCCTCTCCCCGATATATCTCTGCCCACTGACCGATCTCCCCCTATTCTCCGCAGACGGCGAGGTCAAGGTGGAGCGTGCAGAGTCGGTGGCGAGCGCGGCGCCCTCGCAGGCCTCCGAAGCCAAGACCAAACCGCCGCCGGACAAGAAGCCGCGCCTTGCATGAGCGTCGATCCCTTTACCGCGTGGTTTTGGACGATGATCTCCAGACGGGATCCCTAGACTGGAGTAGGGTATTCCAGCTGGTCCTAGACGGTCCGCAGTTGACTATGGACGGTCTTCGGCCGGCGGTGGGTGTCACCAACACCAGTCCAATGAGTGTAGTCCGCGGTGGAATAAGGGTGGTTACCAGTCAACGACCAAACTAGCGAGCGTTCAGTGCAACTCTCTGGACAGCGGATGGGCGAGGTGCGTGCCTACATTCGAGCTGTGGTCACTGGTGGTCGTGTTGTGAGTCCTTTCGCGATAGTTCTCTCATGTCAGTGGCTGTTTGTTACTGCAGTGGAGGAGCATCGCCGTACCGTATGCTTGATGGAATCCATATTCGATTTTATTTCATTTCGGATGGATGTGCTCAGAAGCCCGTGAGCCCGTGAGTTTGGGTGGTTCACAGCCAAGTTCACAGCAGGCTGGAGTGTTTTTCTTGACGCTGTGTTGTTTATATCTTTAATGCTTTGTGTTGTTAAGTATGAAATGTTCTCCATGCTAACTGTACTTTATAGCCTTACGGTAAATAATGTGTGTGCCGGAGCCGAAATACAGTGTTTTCACCAATTTTATGTTACGGCGTCGGCTACGGTAGCACGTGAGAAGTAACGATGCACGACATTTATAAACCATATGATAGAATCAAAATGCCCTTACGAGGATGACAGCACATGTCGATGGCTATGGGGTGCTTCGAGCGATTCGAGCCTTGTGATCGAGGGATTCACGAAATTGATTGGCACAGATTCGCGGACATCAACTCACTGGACTCTGGAGGCGCCGCTAAGGTGGGAAGCAAGTTGCCATGGTAACAGCGGCTCGCTATTTGTTAGCTGTATTTACGCCTTTGAACACAGTTTGTCACAAAGCAGCCAGAAACGTGCGCCACGTGACTTTTGCTTGGAAGGTAGATAGGTAGGTAAGAATTATTGAATTTTAATATTTTTGGTTTCTAAAAATTGATTCTTTTTTCTCAGCAGGGTTTGGCATACACCCTGTTTTATCGTACTTCATATTTTTGGATGTTTCTGCCACTATTGATAACTGTAATTGTCATTTCCATTCCAATCCCCTGTCAATCCCCTTGTCATTGTCGCTTTCATGTAATTTTTGTTTTTTCAATATTTGGCTGAAATAAGATGCATTTTTAAAGGAAATAGCTCACTATTAACATGGGGTTTTGGACTTGAATAGCTGTTGAGCTGAGACAAGCACAAATCAGTAGCTTTTATGGCCCAACGATCACCCGGGGCAAAGATATTCCATTTCTCGTCCAAAAAAAAGTGCCTTGCTGAATGTGTGCTTTGCAGGGGTCCATTCCCCTCTTTTACACGTAAACAATTCACTGTAAAGTGTAAAGTGTAAACTGAAAAGTTTACAACCTGTCTGAACTGTAAAGTTCTTCCTATATTATTATTAAAATAAGGCAAATATTTTTTCATAAAAAGTTGCATTTTCTTTACTGATCATTTTGAGCATAAAACCATAAATTCATTGCAAAAAATATATTTGTGAAAGTGAACTATTCCATGAAAGTGAACTATTTGAGCTTTTTCTTAACCCTTGCCGGCCGAGGGGGGTGCCGCCTTCCCCCATAGGGTTTTTTCACCATCGCTCTGAACACGCATGCGATAGCTGAAACTTAGCATACCTGACCTTTGATTCAAGCCAGATCTTTTGACACTAACTGCATTTTCGGGTCACTGACCTATGATGTCATAAGTGAACCTCTGCATAGTGCATAGTCTTCAGAGGTCGCAACTTCGCAACACCCTCACTGCCAGAGGAGCTTTCACAGGGAAATAAAACTTGTAGGACCTAGTATTAGGAGTCCCACAACTTGTATATTCCAGATTTTTCTTAAAGTTCATATGAGGTCAGGTCATTTGATCAAATTGAGCTAGCGAGTCGGGAAAGCCACCAATGGACTCAGGAAGACCTACCGAATCGAATGATATGCGACATGACCTCCTTCGACCAATTTTGTGACCTTGGGGCGCTGACCTGACCGTGACCCGAGGTCAACATCCTAAGTTGACCTCACCCAAACAAAAAGTATCATTCGACGCGCCTGAGCGAGGCAAACACGATGCTGCCAAAATCGCGCCTCTGCGGTCGTTTTTTGCGAAGTTATTGCGGTCGTTTTTTGCGAAGTTATTCACCAAAAACGGAACCGTACCTTGGGGCACTTGACCTGACCTCAGAGGTCACCGGTTGACCTAGGACTTTAAAATTGGGTAGGTATCAATCTCTGCGTCTCGTAATGGCTCACACGCTCTTTTTCCGCGCCGCGCTAGCTCCACCATGGGCGAAACGGCGTGGGGGGGGGGGGGGGTTCGTACCCGCCCCCCCCCCCCTCCCCTTAGCCGGCGCGTATGTAGAAAACCGATAGGTCCGGGGAGGGCTAAGTTGGTTGACCTGATCCGGTTCAGGCCATAGTCACCAGGGCAGAATACCTGTAACATGTTTCGTTTTGGTGATGTCATCGTGTGAATAGTGCACATTTTGTGAGGAAACCTCTTGAAGTATAATTGGACCTGAATGTAATGCAGGCCTGCAGCTACTAGGGAGATATTTTTCTGGAACATTGCAGGTATTCGTGTATCAGTGCTGTTAGATATTTTGATTATTAGCCAGCACCCAGGTGGGCCTCTCAGCCAACTTCGCCATGGTGGGACCTGGGGGAGGGGGGGGGACGTAGTTATTTGGCCACGCCAGATTATCTTGGAGAGCATTTTTTGACCAGGTCATCGATGAGGTCACCTGGAGGTCACCTGATGCTAAATTATCACAAATTTTGGTTCCCGATTTTGACAGCTTTCACAAATCTGCGCCATAAGTCATGAACCGACAGAGCTACAGGGCCACAAAAAAGCTCATTCGATAGCTTTTTCAGAGCTCTTATTGAGTGATGTTCTCAGATTCGACCCAAGGTCAACGGTTTGGCCTCCAGAGGGCAAAAACGCAAAGTTTGACATTTTGGCGTTACACGTGTTTTTCCTGTAAAATAACTGATATATCCATGGGAGCTGGGCACTGATGCTTGGTAGGGTAGGTTAATGGCATGCCATGAAGCAGCACACAAGGTGGAAATGACTCGCATCCTGTTTCTGACAGATTGCCAGCCCTCAGACTCTGCCCATCGCCACCATGCCAGGCCCCCAGCGGCGCAGAAAGGTTCATCACGGAGACACACATCTGAAGAAACGATGGCGGTTGCGCTGCCGTACTAAGGACCTCGATCAGGTAATGTGCCAGTGGTCTGCTGTGCGCTCTTCGTTACCTACTTCATATCGGTAGGTACTGCTCATCGCTGTCACCGGGGTAACATAACAAGTTTAAGTTGTCCACGAAGTCTAGATTTTAGCGTGTTGGTTTCAGCTTTGCATTTGTTACTAAAAAATGTTAACAGTGTTCCGCTTTCTCGTTTATGCTGGACAGTGGAAACCGATGAACAACGCCGTTCGGACGTCCCTAAAATCGAAATATAGTCATCATCGTTTTTTTAATTACAGATAGATGAAGACTTGGAGCCAAAGCAAGCAGAGAAGCTTCTTAACCAGGAACTCGATCTCGAGAAGCCTGGATTCGCTCAGTTTTACTGCGTACATTGCGCGTAAGTGTGTCCGTTTAATTCACCGATCGTTCGTGGAATCATGATGCTCACTTATAATTAATGTATTTTAATTGTCGTTTTCTAGTATATTCGATTGTTACTTGTCATTCAAAAGTCGTTCTGCTGCACTTTTCCTATTGCAGTCACTAGTTTATAGAATTTTCCTTGATTTTGTAGAAGACGTCTAATACCTAACGTTTTGTCCATACCGCACTTACCTCATTGACCAGGCTTTTCTCGTTTATAACTCCTGCTCTGCTCTTCGCCCAGGCGGCACTTTATCGATCAGAAGGCGTTGGACGACCATTTCCGCACCAAGGTGCACAAACGACGGATGAAGGCCCTGGAGGACGAGCCCTATTCGATCGCAGAGTCGGAGCGGGCTGGAGGTGAGTGCCGGCGCGCCGTCGAGGGAGGGGCAGCGCCGACAGGGAGAACCGGCGTGGGTCTGGCCGCCGTCTGCGTATTTTTGGTGTGAAATTTCTATCATGGTGGTACTCAGTTCATAAAGTTTTAATATTGTATTGACAGGAAGCGTTCCTTTAGCGGTATCTCGGTAGCAGCTACGGTGAAATGAAAAATAAGTACGATCTCGACTACAGATGCTTAGCTTCTTCGATCTTGAACCGCACCATAAGTGCTGCATTACGCTTAACGTCCTCCTTAGCTACCTCGCTTTATAAGCTTTTCTCGCCTGTCCCGTCTGTATTGTGGGCACTTCCTCGAGCTTAACCCGCTTGTGCCACGATCTGACTCCTCCCTGTCCCTGCTCCGTCACAGGCCTGGGGAGCTACGTGCCGCCCAAAAAGCGGCGAATGGAGACACTGAGACGAGAGGGCGAGGTCAGCCTGCCACAGCCCGTTCAGGAGACTGCGACTGAAGCCGCCGCGGCACCACCGAACACAGAGATCACCGAGGCGGGCTGAGGCCCGATCAGGTCCGACTGAGGTGCTGTGCTTGATTGTTTACTGATGACCGCTCTTGAGTTTTGGGGGGAGTTGCAAGACCGGGGTGACGCGATAATACAAATGTTTATCATATTCATTTTTCATAAGTGGGACGGATCAGACCCCTCATATGCGACATAAATGGACGAGAATTTGACGAATGGAATCAAAGCACAATTTTGCATCGATAAACGTTTGAAAGTCAGTGTTGGCTATCAAATCAACTTTTATGAAAACTATACCTGTTCCTATTCCGAAACATCTCATAGACCAAGAATCTCTATCGAGAGTCAAGCTATACGACAGACCACTAGTGCTTATGCTTCTAAGATGCAGCGCTGGCAGACTGTGCCCCTGCGCAGCTGCAGCTACGATGCATAGATACGACTGGATGAATTTGGATCATTTCCATTGAAAACAGCAGCAAAGGTTGCCTGCACTCTGAACTCTGAAGAATAGCGTTAGCCCTCGGCACGTGTCTTTCTTCACGCAAAAATCAAGCACTGCCATTTCTGGTGCGTGACGATTATGCTCCTCCGGCATGTTCGGCAATCAGTCATAGGATCAGTTTTTTGAGTTTAGGGATTTCGGGGTGGGATGGGCTTGGGTGGGGAGCTTTTCCTTGTTTTGTCACCATTCCACTCTATATAATTTGTTTTTAATGTTAGCGTCGGTGATCAGTTGAAGATTCAGTAGAAGAGGACCGCTGAAGAGCCGCCATGCCCGGCGGGCGGGGCCGCGGCTGGAGCTTTCCCCGCCACTGGATCGGGGGCCACCGCCGAGGTGTGTCTCCCGGCCCCGTGGGTCCCGTGCCGGTGCTGATCGTATCGGCCCCCTCCTGGCACAGCACGGCCCCGGGTGAGTAGCCGCAGAACTGACCTCCGCAACCGCCGGGGACGGCTTGTGTCGCGGATACCTGTCGTCGATTTCCTCATGCGTAGGTCAGCATCAGATAGGTATATGTAGATTCTTGATCTGCCGGATCACCTTCGTGCTCAATACGTATGTCTGTTCTGTGGCAACGTCCGTGTAAGGATAGTAATGTGTCGGGATAGCGACGACTTCCTTTGCCCTCTTGGTTACTAGTTACTATAGTTACTGTTAGCAGTGTGTCGCCCTGTCGTTTTGCCCTCTTCGTAAGCACCTCTGATGTGTGTCGACCTGGCCTCATTCCGGCGGTGCGACGGTTGCGTTCCGGCAGCGACGGGAACCTCGGTGATCATCCTGCCGGCTATCCAGGGCAGCGCGGCGTCGGTGGTCGATGACGCCGCGGACACGGGGCCCTCTCAGACGGTCGACCTCAGCAGCTCCCCGCAGTCCTCATCGTCAGACTCGATCGGGCCGGGACCGGGGCCGGAACCGGAGCCGCAGCAGCCGGAGCCGCAGCCGGACGGTCCGACAGAGCCGCTGCCGCCGCCCGCACCACCCGCCTGCCCGGAGACCCTGGACACCAATTCGTTGGCTGTGAGACTGCCCGTTTACTGTTTCCTTCATGCCGTCAAATGTTAAAACTTAATAGTCGGCGTCTTTAGAAGTCCTCTGCGTACCGGATGTTGTCAGTTTTGCAAGGAGGGAACGATTGCTTTGTGGGTCCTATTTTTTCACTTCGCCCTAATCGCCTTCCCTTACCCCGGTACCACATGTCTCTGACTGGTTTCTGTCCCGGCCTTACTCAGGCACCTGCCTCTAATTCCGTCCTAGGAGAGTCTGTCCCCTCCCTAGCCTCGCCCCACTGCTTTCTCCTCCATCCCTGCCTCATCTAATCCTGATTTCTCTCAACCCCGCCTATCTAATCCGTCCTCTCTACCTCTCTAATCCGTCCTCCCCGTCCCCACCTTTCTAATCCGTCCTCACTCCCCCCGCCATCTGATGCCTCAGGCGCCGGCGCCGACCGACTCCGGCCGCGGCTCCCGTCTGTCGGTGATCACCGTGTCAGCCCCCGTACAGTGTGTCTGCGCGTTCGTGGCCGCACGCGCCCGCCGCCACTGCGCAGAGTGTCGCCGCCGACGCTGCGATTTTGCCGCCTCCAAGACAGTGGGCTACTGCGGCCTACCGACGCTCGTGGTGGCCTGGGGAGCGTTTTGGGTGCTGATCATACTCGCGCTGGGAGGGGTGCTGAACGTGTCAGCGCCGACCGGCGGCTGAGGGACGGACAGCTGGAGATGTGTCAGCGACTCAGGTGGCCTGCTGCGATGTCAGCGCTGACCGGCGATTGAGGCAGTCCGCTGAGCGTGTCGGCAAGTCAGACTCAGGTGGCCTGCTGCGATGTCAGCGCTGACCGGCGACTGAGGCAGTCTGCTGAGCGTGTCGGCAAGTCAGACTTCTGATCGTTCAAGCGCTGACCGGCATCGGAGACGGTATGTCGAGAGCGTTGCTAGCATCACATGGGAACCGATAGGTGCACCGATAGGCAATCGCGGGGCTCGGCCTCGCGATCTAGTAGGCAGAATGGTGCCGTTAGGCGTCTGGGCTGGTGTTTGGGATAAGCTGTAAGATTGTGGGCTGGTGCGCCCCTAGGATCGGCACTCCATATTTGTCCAGCATGGGGCTTAGGAACAGGCACGGCGCAGGACTTCTGGTAGCTGTGGATGGGCAACATTTTTAACCCCTTTTGTTTTCATTTTGAGACTTTAATAAGCAGGTACTGTGTCGGATTCACAATGAATGACAATGAAACGCATATGGGCTTTTCTTTTTATTAACAACGTAATGCAAAATGCATCTTGGCTGAGATCATACCCTGGTTTAAATGGCTGGACAGTAAAGGCACTTCGAAGCACCTGCTTTGACAAAGACTACGACAAACGAACCTAAACTCGAGCGATAACAATAAGCAAAGCTATCCAGATCCGAACCGAACCTCGGCGCGGTATGGAAGTCGACATTGACGGCCGACTTAGGCCGACTCGAAATCAACCACTTTCCTTGCGCACTTCTAGTTCATCGCAATGGGCGCCGACAGTTCACAGCCAACAAAAGGCAGTCGATAAACCAGTTTCCAATTCACACGACAAGGCACTCCCAAGTGTCAAGGCAAAACTCTTCTGTTGCAACTCACCACCACAAGGTACGCGGTCACCGTTGTGATCAATACGTCCGCAACAGCACGTCGACGGCCGCTAGTATGTCAGGCTGCTGTGGTCGCGGTAAAGGCAGCTGCAGCTGTCACGACAGCAGCTTGCCGTCTTCACATCAGCAGCCGCCTGCCATTCACGTCAGTTGCCGGTCGCTGTAGAGGTGGTAGACGGCCTTACTGATGGCCGCACCCACCGGCCGGCCGGAGCGGTCTGCGCGGAGCGACGCCAGCAGTTTCTCCGCCTCCGCCTGCGATCCGCAGCCGGCGTACGCCTCCAGCAGTCGCGACAGGGTCGGGTACACGGCCACTATGGCGGCCGCCTTGTCTGCCGACAGGCCCGACAGTTGGAGCAGCATCTTAGCGAACATGTCTCTGGCGGTCAGCCGCTGCCGCTTGGCCGACAGCTGGTGAAACTCGCTGAACAGCTGCAGCCGCTCCGGGCCGCCGGCTGACGGGGGACCGGCCGGCAGCTGCTCCCGCGGGCAGCCCTCCAGCTGACGGTACTGTGGAAAAAGGACGGAGAAGGGGTTAGTTGGGTAAGGACAGCTTTGCTGCTCCCGCGGGTAACCCTAGATGACCGTACTGGGGTGGGAGGTAAGTAGCTTCGGAAGTTCTACAATGAAAAAGTTGGTCGGGAGTTTCCCATAATCGGCAGAATTGAGCGAGAGGAAGCGTGAACGACACGTGAGTTACCCATCAGGTGGTCTGCGTATTATGTGAGGTCACATTATGTGAGCGAATCGGAACGGACGTGGACGAGCCAGCCCGTCCAAGGGACACCTGAAGCGTTCCTGCCCCACCCGGCGCTGTGGTCTGGTGCCACCCGCCTGCACCCACCTGGTATCGCTGCTGCAGGCGCCGCGTCATCAGGGTGAGGAAGGCGGCTGTCTCGCGCTGGTCGGCCGTCCACTTGACCCGGAACCCATCCACCACTTGGCAGTTGGCCAGTGCCTGCTGCAGGGTCGACTCCGGCAGACTGCGGGAAGGGAGAGTGGTCAGGGTGGTGCGGTAGCAGCAAAGGCCAATCACAATCGCAGAGCGCAAGGCGCATGCTTGGTTCAGATTCTTTCCAGAGGAACTACTCGTACTCATGCCGATGAGTCATAAATTCTCATGAGCAGTGAATATGTTTATAAATGCAAGCATTTGGAAATTGCGAGGATAGTTTTAGTGATGATGAAATAGCCTTTGCTCATACTTAATCGAAAAATGACGAAAAAAAAAACAAAATATATATGCTCAATGTAGCAAATAACAATAACGATTGAACCAACATGATGCTCAACAAAAATAAGCTGTAATTTTCTGAATGCGTGACGGGCTACGGTACCCTAGCACCTACTCCATCCTAACTACTCAGACACCGGCCATGCACGAGCACAACAGACAGCAGGGACTCACCTGACGCTACGCGCTCGCGGCCCAGTGCCCATCGCCTCCGCCAGGTAGATAACGTTAGGGACGCCGCACCGCTTCAGACGGAACTTCTGCTCCCGGTACCGGCTGTCGCGGATGCTCGAGGCCAGGTCGTCCAGTCGCTTCCGCTCGACAATGTACGGCAGAATCAGTTCTTCAGGCTACGGGGAGAGAGAGAAGCTGTGGTGAAAAGAATACAGGAGAGTGCCTGTGATAAGACCGATTCGGGTGGCGGACGTGAGGAAGGACTCGAGAATCAGTGGGAGGCTGTGGTGAAAATCAGTCGCACTGCGCTCAATTATGAGCCGATTGGCAAAGGTCAAAGCACATTGACATCGGTAGGTTATCGATGAAAAATGCATTGAACGCAAGATCATTGAACGGTGCGGGTGATCCATGTGGTAGGAGGGCGCAGTGTGATCAAATGATGGCCAAAGTTATAGTGGTCACAGCGCGATATAAAGCACAGATATACATTTCTAGGCACGTCATAACATCTGCGCAGAATATCCCCTCTGAGAACAGGACACGCCTCCGCTCAGGCACGTCTGCCGTACCTGTTTGCCGGTACGCGGCCGTGCCACCCACAGAAAGTCTCCGACGCTCAGTTTCCGCACGTCAGCCACCACGCCGTTCTTCTGCAGTTCAGCCAGTACCACGTCCCGGTAGGTGCGAAGACAGGCGCCCGGACCCGACCTGGAAGGGACCGACCACCGGGTCAGACCAAGGAGCCAGCGGTCACGCGGTGATCAAGCTGGGTGTCAGTAAGACCATAATGCGGATTGTTTTGGCATGGAATATCACTGTGAAGTAAGCATGACTGACTGACTGTAAAATGACGTCTGCTCTCCTTTATTTTAGGGATTATTTCACGATGAATAAAAACCAAAAGACGTCCTAGTGTCTGGTTCCACTTACTTGCCGGATGTCTCCTGGTTATCCACGCAGAGTACCACGTCGAACGTTCCCGGCCGGAGCACCACGGAGGGAATAAAGTCGCGCAGCTCGGCCGCCGGTTCCGGTGGTCGCCGCTCGGTGGAGACCGTCGCCGTCGCCGGTCGCCAGTCCTCCACCACCACCGGACGGGGCACAGAGGCGCTATGGGTCGGCCGCTGCTCTGACGAGCCCCCAGCAGCGGCCGGCGGCCGGCTGGTACCGCTCCCTGATGCGGCGGGAGGCGGGCGGCTCTTGGCTCTGGCCTCGGCCGCTGCCGCCGCCCGCTCCCTAATCAGTACCGCGGCAGGTGGGGGACTGAGTCGATCCGCACTCTTAGCAACCGGAGAGACGGCGCTCTCCGTACCTCCCACTCCACTCGACGGTGGAAACCCGACGCTGCTCCTAGTCGGTGAGGGTGAGATGGTCGCTCTCTCCAGTGAAGGTCTAGGCGGTATATCGGCCGCCGTGATCAACACATCGTCATCGTCATCAGACAGCAGATGGCAGTCCTCATCGGACAGGGAAGCCGCCCCAGACGAGGATGTTGGCCGCGACGACGCAGCTACAGACTCTGACGGGCCGGAGTCGGCCGAGATGTCCGAACGGAGCCGCTTCAGTGCCGCTCTCCAGTCGGTAGACTGCCGTTTGAGGGATGTCCCGACTCCGGGCCGCGCCTGCCGCTGGGACTGGGATAGGGAATGCGACTGAGATTGGGACAGTGACTGGGACTGGGATCGGGACTGGGATTGTGGCGTTGAAGCTGACAGCGACTGGGAGGATGTCGTCATACCGTCGTCGCTGTCGGAATCCGACATGTCGTGTAGTTTGGTCTGGCGAGCGGCGACGGGTGGCGGAGGAGCCGGGTCAGAGAGCGGTCCTGATGGACACTCTTCGGCGCAGTCTGCGTCCGAGAGGAATACGTGCACAATGCCATCCCGCTCCGGTCTGAAAGCAGATGTCAGATAGACTCCGTCAGGGACCAGCACAGCCACAACAGATAACACCCGACCAGAGAGGCGGCAGCGGCCGGGGCAAAAACTGGGCAGGGCGTCAGTCCGGTGACAGTGTCGATGATAAATGATTGCTTTTATGAAGTCATTCATGATAAATATAACGAAATATTATACAAAAAGTACATTATTTAGTAAAAGTAGCTATACCATCGTTCCCACCACGACGCCGCAGCAACATATTTTCTCAGCAGATAGTACTACGCCCCATAGGGTCAGTGGTTCCCGGCGGCAGTAGGCAGTCCACCCTGCGTTTCACCTCCGATTCTCCCAAATCCCACCATTCAGCCCACTCCCTTTCCCCTCAGAGGCTCCTCAGCCCCACTCTCACCTGTCGGGGTCTGTCCAGTAGGTGCGTCCACTGGCGAGCAGCGCGTCCCGCCGGCAGCGCACCAGGAACCCCACTCGGCCGCAGTCTACCGACACTTGAGCGTCGTCTTTACTGCGGACCGCGGCGCCGGCCGAGCTGATGTACTGGTACATCAGGCCATCGGTGGACGGCGCGACGGTGTCCGAAAGGAGCCGCTGGGGAACTGAAGTGTGTGGAGATGGTTAGCAGCATACTTTAGACGACAGACGTGACAGTTCATGCGCGCCGGTGACCACCGCAGTCCGAGCGCCATTACCCCAAATCATCATCAGAGGTGCCAGTTAGCAGGAATGTTTACATATATACGCGCATGAAATATACAGCAGCCCCGTATCCGTGTATCGACAGGAGCTCGGCCTTATTTGTGTAGTAGGTAGCAATCTTCGAGTCCAGAATCCAAATAATGATGCGAATCCGTGTTTGTAAACTAACCGAGTCCACGGAACGCAGTACCAGTGCGACACAAATCGACCAGGCCAGTCCAGTAAAGGTCCGCGTGTCGACATAGTCTTGTGCCCGTGCCTGTGACATAACCCCGTGTCCGCGCGCTGACCTGTGCGCGGCTCGGCTGGTCGACTGCTGCTTCTGGTGGCGGCTGGCGGTGCCCCTCTGATCGGGCTAGATCCCGTGCAGTCGGACGGGGGTGACATCCCAGTCAGACGGTCAAAACAGTCGCGCTGGCTGGGAAGGGTCCACGGGGAGGAGTCGAGACGGTCGGCCACCTCACGACCGACGTCAGTCAGACTGAACCTGGGAAAGCGAGAGGGAGAGGAGGGGCATTATCAGGCTGAACCTGTGAGAATAGAGGGGAGAGGCCGGGAGGCCGGGAGGGTTACAATCTGAGTGAACAGAGGCACTGAAGGTCAGGGCCAAACCAAACGGCAGCGGTAAATGAAAACGATAAACAGTCACGGATTGTTATAGCTGGATACCTAACGAAAGTACGAAGACGTTTGGTGAAAAATTGGCCAGTAAGTTCAACCTGACACAATTAGCTCCTTCGCCAAAGGGTATTGTCGATATATAAAACGAAATGGTCTTCAGCGTCGATCCACCTAGGTGCCCAGTGACCCACCTGGCCGGGTTACCCTCGCGCCGCACCAGTTTGCGTTTGACCAGGGTGCCCATAGTGCTCCAGGCGGTGTAGTAGCCTCCTGCCTCTGGCAGCGTCATTGAGGCGTTACAGAGCGGCTGGGCTGCCTCTTGGAGCGCGGCCTTACGCAGGAACCCTGCCGGACGGCGGTGAGATACTCAGAAGGCAGTCCACGGAGTACGGACCGCTTAGCACATACTATGCGATAGAGGACCCGACTTTCATTCATTATGCATGTAAATAACAGTTAGCGTAATATCCAGCACTAAACTAAGCCTCGAAGTTCGTCATACCTTTGAGACAAATGTTACGACCAATATGCACCGAAAACAAAACATACCGATTTCCGGTCAACTTATTTACTCGGTTTTTGAATCATTACGCTGTCTGGGGCAACTAGTTCAGACTGTTGACTGAGCCGTCCCTTCACAAGTCCCGCGCCTCAGTAGTGCACAATCGGCACGGCAGCCCTACCGGCGTATCCCTGCTGCTTCTCCTGCCGCCTGAGAGTCACCAGCAGGGCGAACCCGCCCGATCCCGGTTTGGGGCGGTACTCGCCGGCCGGCCGACCGCGCTGAGGAACGGATCGAAAACACAGTCACCAGCCGAAAAATACATCCAGCGAAGCAAGGCGAGGCAACGGCATAATTAGACATTGATATTGAATGCATTTGGAGCTACGAGTGTTCTGAGCAGTGGATGCCACCAATGTTGGAAGGAAGCATAAATCGATTTGAGGCATATCATGTAACACAAACAACTTAGCAGGCGGCGGTCACAAATCTACTTGTAAAAGCGAATCCCATGGATGGTCAAAATACATTTGTCTTTATGTATAGAAGAAACAAAAAGCAGCTTGAACTAATGATCTTGTTCATCCCACATGTAAGCTTCCATGCAGTGTGACCGTTCGGCGCAGCGCGTCCCCCAATGGCATTCAGCAGTGACCACTGACCGTCAGAGACTCTGTAACACTCAATGCCCACCTTTCCCACTGGGGAGTCTCTATCCATCTCTGCCGAGGAGGGATCCGGGGCGGCCACCGGTGCCGGCTTCGGCGTCCTTTTCTTCGCAGGCGCCTTTGGCCTCTCTCGCTCCAGCTCCACCTGGTCCGCCACGCCGAGTGCAGGCAGCGGACCTTCGGGCCGGGCGATGGATTATGTGTCACACTATGCACACAGGGTGGAAGGATAGATATTTAACACGCCGAGGGCAGGCAGCGGACCTTCGGGCTGGGTGAGGAATTCAACGTCAGACTACTGGAACAGGACGGATGGCTGGATATTGACGAGAGGCATCGCGCGACATGAGCTTCTGGCTCCCAGGAGACGGGTAGTTATATCGTAAATAACTTGTTGTTAGTTGTTACGTGTTTCTAGTCGAATTATGTTTCTAGCCGAGGTTCGTCAGAACACTCATTCATCAATATCACCGGAAGCCATGCTTGTCAGACTGAGGAGTGGGGAGGTTTTCCATGTTACTCGAGTCATGAGGGTCCATTTCGCGACGAGACATCCTACCTTTCCCGGCCCAAACTTACCATGTTCCTCGATGTACTCCTGAAGCCTCTGGTCCAGTCGGGCACAGAGAGTGGCGCCGAAACCTTTCAGAATGTTACAGCTCTTCCCCGAGGTGAGCGGAAGAGGGTATTGCCGCAGCGACTTTAGTGCCTGTGAATGGAGAGATGGGACGAAGGGTGAGTTAGCGTATGGTCATATGCTGAGTGGAGTGCAGTAAACCCTAAACTGCCACCCCTGGGTCGCTACTCGCTCACAATGCAGCGTCGCCACATACTACCCCAATGTCAGGTAGTGAGGTCACCACCACCATGCTTAAAATGTTACTCCATAGAGATCAGTCCCCAGCGGTACCACCCATCAGCCGCAGCTGGTCCCAGTTTAAATTAAAAACATCTGACGACTGCTGACAGTGGTCAGAATCTCAAACCGATTTTGCTTTCATTTTACTTCTCACTTTACTTTTTACGGATCTTAGCGGTAGCCATAATGTTACCGAAAAAATATTATCACTAATGAGTAATATGACACAAGTGTACGGCTAAGTCTGTCCATTATGTGTCTAGCAAATGACACACTAATTTGAACGTGCATTCAAACTTCAATACGCACCACTCCATAAACATATTTCATTTTGGAGTCTTTTCTGTCTGCCTCTTCCCTCCATTCTGTCAGCCATGCCGTGAATAGAGGGTTTGGATCTTTGAAGAGTCTCTTCAGTCGCCGCACTTCCTGCTCCATTGCCGTACCTGTGTACAAAACCACAAATGGTTACATAGTCTGGTAGCATAGTTCCAGATCTCGTGTTTGTTAAGGGCGTATTCATACAGATACGTGGGACATTCGGATGAATACCCACGAAATGACATTGAAACAGCAAGACTTGGCACAGCTGATGACTGATACATTAGAGCAGTGAGCCAGGCCATAGAAACGAATGCCCCTGGCATAAAAACGAGATAAATAAACATCGCTTGACTTCTGATATTCATCTGCTGCTGATCTAAGGGGAGCTGATACTGCAACAGGCTTGCCGATGTCAACCCAATCACAACTTAAATGGTCTTGCCCTGGTGTCCCTACTGCTCACAGGGCTTGGCACCCACTCAGCTTTAGATTAAGCTTCAGCCTTCACCATCAATATACCTCTCATCCACCACTCACCAGTCACCACTGGTTGGCATGATCAGCCAAAGAGTGATTCACCTTCCACCTAGCTATATGTTAACCGCAATAGATCCAGATTCCAGAGAGCGCCCACGCCCCACTAGAAGCCAGAGGAAAGGCAGTGGAGGAGTAGTTGGCAATTGGCATCAATCCAGACAGACCTAGGCAGCGTTTCAGATACAGATACAGATACAGACTTTTATTAAGGTCATCCATGGTAAGTCATGGCTATTAGGACCTCTCGTCACGGTTTCAAAAATGATACATGGATAACATCACATGCAATCTCACAGAACAGTCACTCGCACACGAACAAGTCAGTCAGGCGCTAAATCTACCAGGTGACGCTTCAGATGACGTCCAAACCGCGACGCGGGGAGTTCGATGAGGTCTCGCGGCAGACCATTGTACCGGGTCGGCCCACGGCAGGCAAAGCGGCGACGGCCCATCTCCGTCCTGGACCGGGGGACCGACAACAGTCCATCCTGCCGCGTCATGCGGTCGGCCGCCGCACGGGCCTCCGCGACAGTGGACAGCCCAGCCGCCAGCTGCTCCGGCTCGCCAGACCGGAGCACGCGGTGCAGCACGCAGAGAGTGTGGTATGATGCTATGCCCTCCGCGCTGAGCCAGCCCAGTCTTTGAAGTAGGTCGGAGACGTGGTCGTATTTCCTACGACCAAAAATGATTTTTGCCGCGTAATTTATTATCTTTTGAATGCGAGAGAGGTTGCTTTTTTGCCATTTCCATATACCGAAATACAGTAGCGAATTTGAGAGAACACTAGGGCATGGATCAGCGCGGAGAGCACGGCCGTGGGCAGGTGCCCCCTAAGATGCGACAGACCAGTCAAAACTCCAAAGCAGCGCTGAGTGATGATGGAAACATGACGGTCCCAGCTCAGGGTGCTCAGTGCTATCACAGTACAAACCGAGATTTTTTGTTTCTGGCGCAGGGGTCAAAATGTGATCGCGGAATGTTACAGTTACGTTGTTTAAAATGCGCAAATTTTGACGGCTACCCAACAGCATCATTTGAGTTTTGGAGGCATTAACTTTCAGTCCGTTAGCTCTGAACCAGGAATCAAGAGATAGGAGAACGCTTTCCATGCGGCCGACGAGTACATCGATGTCAGACTTTTTTCCACTGACTAGAATTTGGGTATCGTCCGCATATTGGACAACGGTTGCATCCCCAGCAAAAAGGCTCAAATCGTTCGAAAAAAACGCTATATAAGATGGGCCCCAGAGAAGACCAAGGCCTCGTCTAACATGTTAACTGGGGGGGGGGGGGGCAAACCCCCGCAGTCATCGACCTGGCCCCCCCAGTCAGGGCAAAAAGTCCCTACTGGGGGGGCCGGCAATAGTCAAAAGGCAAACGAATTTTTATTTCGCAGCGTCAGTGCACACAAAAACAAATGCGTAAACGAAACGATGCAATGTGACCACATTGAAATACCCCATTACCTAGGGCTGTTATGTGTTTATTTTGTTTACCTTAACCTTTTTTCGCTCAGCAATACGTTACATTTCGTCTTTTCAGGCGACCAACTCCGTGTCCCGGATATTCTTTTTTCATTAATTTTGTCCGAACCTTTTGAATGGAAGGATTCACAAGTACATACAGAGCCCCCGCCAAGCAGAGCTTTGCGTTGGCCCTGCCCTCTACCCTCCGATCGCGCAATTCGTGATCTATGACAGAATTTAGAGCCCAAAGTTTAACGTATGCACATAGCCGCGCACGGCCGGTCCCCTCACTGACTTCGAATGGCTACGGCCGGCCACCAACCGTAACCATACTCGCCAGGAGGCTCATAAAGATCGTGCGATGTCGCGCTTCGAACCTGGACTGTTATAACTGGGGCATTCCGCGTCAAATCAAACACCAAAATCCGTCATCCCCTTCGATTTTTCTGAAAATTTGTAGGCAGACTGGGCATGGTTCAAAACTGAGTTACGTATAATATTTTCGAAATTTGATAACGTATCGCTGAGATATAGGTCATCGAATATAGCGAAAAATGCCACACATCAATTTTTTAAATGGCTATAACTCTGGTTCCTTTTCTGGTATCAAAATGATATTAACAGGGTCTTATAGGCAATTGATAAGGCTTTGATTTTTAATTATAAAATTAATTTGAAGTGACCTTGAAATGCATTTGACCTTGAATTAAAACAGAAAAATTTAAATAGCAAAAAACACGTCACCTTCGATTTGGGTAATTTTTACATATTATGTCCGTCACAATGTTCCTAACCATCTGTGAAAAAATTGGAGTGGGCCATTCATAACTTTCGCGGCAAACGCCGTTTTCATGCATCAACATCACGCAACCGCGCGTGACCTTGAAAGACAGAGTCAAGACATGCTTGCTTGTGTACACTTTCTGAAATGAATGATTGCTGATTAGTGATATCCCAAACTCTGCGAGAATGGAAATGCATAGTCATCGTAGTCAAGCATTCACGTTCCATAGTAAAAGTGTCTCAGGCAAACGGTATGTTGCGGTGAATTTTGAGCCGTGTGGAAATGCATCATGAAGTGAATTCAACGAAAACATTATCACGCAACGATATCTTCACGTCTTTTGATCTTCACTATACGAAAGAACATACATTTTTTTAGTATGTATGGGGAATTTCTAGTTAATCCAATAATAAATATGGCAGTTAGGGCCGGCCTGCCAAGAGTAACATGTCGCCGGCTGAGGCGGGCTCGGCCGATGCGGGAAACGCAGCAATCACAATTTTGTGTTTACACGTTCATATTTCAATTGTTTACCAACCGATTTTCAAAATTCTTTCACCATAAGATTGCCTGTACATTTCTTAGTCTTCTCACAAAATTTGACGCGAATCGAACGTAATCAGCGGTAGGGAGCGCGATGTAAAGACGGAACCGTTCCGTTCCGTCCCGGCACAGTCTACAATTCAGGCGGCGCGTAGCGGTCGGCACCGGCTGCCGAGTCGCCGCGTCGCTGCAGCGACAGGATGTTCACTTTACACCGCTATTACTAGAACAGTTGTGAACCGATTTCCTTATTGCTTGCACGATGAGATGTCCAATTCAATTCTTGACAGGTAACCATAATTAATTTCGCATTAATCTTATGAGATATTGGCGAAAAACAGAAGGGGTGGGCGAAATTCGCTCTTCCCCCTCCACTGCGCGTGCTAACATACGTTTGCATATGTGCAATTTTCTTCAAAACTTATGAATGGCCCACTCTATTTTTTTCACAGGTTGTTAAGAATATGGTAGGCAATAAAATATATGAAAATGAGCCAAATCGAAGGTGACGTGTTTTTTGCTATTTCAATATTTGTGCTTAAGAACAGAGTTAAGCAAATTTCAAGGTCATATATTTAAGTAGGTGCAATTCTAAACAAATGCATAAGAAATTACCTAAACAGTAAGGTTTATTTCATTCAAATCAAACTTTTACAACCAAAGTTATGGTCGTTCAAAAATATAAAGATGCAACATTTTGTAAAAATTGGATGCCCTATATTTAGAAGACCTGTGGTCAGAATGTGCAAAAAAACATCAATGTAATGTCCGGGGCCACACAGGAACTCGCTCACAAATTTATAATGAAATCGCTGATGGTAAGGTGCAAAACAGCCGATTTTTGTTCGATTTGACGTGGAATGCCCCAACTGGGACGCGTGCCCTCACCACGCGGAGTCCAAGGCTCTACCGGCAGCCACTTCGTGTCCCAACTCCCAACTGGCCTCAAAGCACTACTATCTTCTTTTTTGTTTAGTTTATAGCCTCTGACGAGTGACGACCTTAAGGTTGTGTCGAAGATCCACGGCGATTACGGAGAATCCACCTGAGAAATCAGTCTCCATGTTGATACACAGGCATTACACTGGTCTGAGGGGGCCCTATAGTGGGAAAATACGGTCTCCACTCAGATTGACCCTTAAAGCCTGGTATGGATCATATAAAACCAGTGTGGGCTACCATACAGGCCGACGTAGGTCCAGAAGCTGACATTAGCCCTCAGAGATCGGCATCGAGCGCTCAGAGGGACCCATCAGAAACCGATGTGGTTTAAAAAAAAAAAAATGTGTATGGGCCCTCGACATAAGGCTCGGCATGCAAATTCCTTAGACACGGCTGACGGCACTGCCACTCAAACACACGCTCAACAACGAGAAGTGTGATTATTATTGTCTGATGAGGCAATGTGAGGACTGAGGAGGCTATAAACTTATATACAAGCATGGGTCGGATGACCTACTATTTTTTTAGTTTTCAAAAAAAAATATGCATGGTGTCAAGGCTGTGATGAAAAATAAGTGGTCTAAATCCGGTGAGAAAACAGGATTTGGGGGTACCCTAGGTTTGGCTCCTTCAGTCTCTGGCCCCCCCAGTGAAAATTCCTTAGACGAGGCCCTGGAGAAGACCCCTGGAAAACTCCGATGCTGTTGGGTAGAGGGATGGAGTGTGAGACACTGCCCTGGTTTGGGGTCCGTTCAACCGCGTGGACCAGAAACTGCTGGAAAGGGGACGCCGGTGAAAACAGGGCGCCGGAGGGCATATTAGTCACGTGACATTTGGAGCTTCTCCCCCCTCCTTGGTGCTTCTACATCGAAACTTCTACTCATCGAAACGTACAAGCTACTAACAGGGAAGGTTAAGGTGGATAGTGAGCAGTTCTTCGAAGTCGACCATGAAGACCGCACTAGAGGACACCACCTGAAACTGAAGAAAGGCAGATCAAGCCATCTGTACAGGCTGAAGTTCTTTTCAAACAGAGTGGTAAACGACTGGAACAAATTGCCAAGAGATGTGGTGGAGGCTCCATCTACAAATACGTTTAAAAACAGGCTAGACCACAGGGCTGCCGAACCTGCCTCCTCGCACCACAATTGACCTCATTCCTAGTCCGGCTCGATGTGAGCACTGAATAGACCTAGTCTACTACAGCTCACTACAACTTCAACTTCAACTTCAACTACATCCTGAACGTCACGTGTGAATTTCACGAACCTTGATCAAATCGCCCCAGGCGCCCTGTTTTCACCGTCGTCCTGGAAAGGGTACAGCGAAGGGCAACACGTATCAGAACATCAGACACTTACACTATGAAGAACGCCTGCAGAAGCTACGTCTACTATCACTTTACTATAGCCGGCGCAAGTGAGGTGACATACTTACTTACTTACTTACTGAACTGGAACACCTTCAACGCGAGTCTGGATGCCCACTGGGCCCACCTCTGGTACCAAACACCAGACAGCTAAGCTGTCAAGCCATGGAGCTCGATGCGGGGCCTACAGGCCATTTGGCCTTACCATAAACCCGACGACCGTAAGGGAAGGTAAGGTAGGTAGCGCATAATGATAAGGACAGGACAGGGCCATCCAGGGTATATTGAGTGAAGGGCCATCAACCTCAGCTTTGTTTGCAGTTGATTGTAGGCACGCGGCACGCCGACGAAATAGTCATCAAGGCCATCTATAGTTGAAGTTGAAGTTGAAGTTGAGCATTAGTGAGCTGTAGTAGACTAGGTCTATTCAATGCTCACATCGAGCCGGACTAGGAAATGAGCCATAAGGTCAGTTGTGGCGTGAGGATGCAGGTTTGGCAGCCCTGTGTTGGTCTAGTCTTCGTTTGAACATGTTTGTTGTTGTGTATCGAGTGGTCAGTACTTTCCTTATTCTGCTACTT